ACAGAAGTCGATGATCGATTTGGTAGTCGCATCGTCTGACTTAAGACGCTCGGTAATGGATGTTCATGTTAAGAGAGGCGCAGAGCTATCAACTGACCACCACTTTGTTGTTGGCACACTACGCTGTAAGAAATGGAGTACCATACGATGGTCTGGTGACAGAAGCAACCAGAGAATGAAACATCATCTTCGGTTGACACGAGAGCGAAATTAGCAATCAACATCGCAGGACGGTTTGAACAGATCCTGATGATGACCAATGATGTGGAAACCGAGTGGCAGCATAATCAAAGCTGCCGCCGAATGCGTGAACTAGCCCGATTTACTGTGACAAAAGCGGAACTTAGTCTGTTCGAGTCTATCTTTATCCTCATGCTTACCTACGGTCATGTGTCGTGGACCATGGCTTAAAAGCTTCTAACCCGGGTACAATCTGCTGAAATGGGCTCTCTTAGACGAATCGTTAGCCTTGCGCGTCTCGATATGGTCCGGAATACTGACATCCAGGAGAGGCTTGGTGCACAGCCTCTGCTTCTGCAGACTGAGAAGTCACAGCTGCGATGGTCTGGGCATGTGTTGTGATTGCTTCCAGAAAGGAAGGCTAAGCAACTCTTTCTTGCCAAACTGGCCGGCAGAACGCCGAGGGGACGGCCAAGATTAACCTAGTGCAAATATATGGAAAGAGCCTATTCCAGACTCCAGTTGTCTTCTACCGAAGCTCAGACTCTAGCATAGGATCTGGTACGACGGACGCTGTCTGAAGCCGTCTGCCTCCGCGACCGGAAAGGAGAAGTAGTCATGGAAGATAAAGATGAAGAAGATGCTCAATAGTTGGCAAGAAGATATCTAAAAAGGGTAGCGGTTCCAGATATGTTGTTCATAACGAACAAATGATTATGCCAACGAATAAATTTATGCAAGTTGCACCAAACAATAAAGGTGTCCAAATTCAATGGAGCTGTGAAATAATCCAAATGCGGTGCAATATCTCATGAAACTTTTTTTGCATGAATTAAACCTTTGTTGGCTATAACGAACAAAAACTGTCATATTTATTAAAAACCCTAAAAGTTAAAAATACTAAGCCTGATTTACACGGCTTCATTCGAAGCATACTGGACTTTCGAATTGGACATGGTCAGAGCATAAAGCAAAACCGCATCATGTGTTAATTCGACAGCGTTCCAACATCAAGTAAATAACTTTATGTTGTACTTATAAACAGATGTTAGTAAAATACCAAAAACGGATATTAAATAAATATAACGTAAATAAATTAACATTATAATAGTTCTTCTACACTGTGAGCAGGTTAGAATAATTACATCAATGTAATGTATCCATTTTTAGAACACTCTAGACGAAACATCGTGTCAACTTCGCAC